GATAATTTTATTTTTATGTTTTTAAGTAGTAGAGACAAGACAGTGATGACATCTGTGGACCAGGTCCGAGAAGGGACAAACATTCTCAAACCTAAAACAAAAATGGTAAGTTATAGAAATAGCACTTATAAACAGTCCTTTTCCCCCTTTCCCTTTTCTTAAAATCCATTTGAAATAAATAAGTTTTGAAATACTAACTTTTCTTAAATAACTTTTTTAAGGCTGATAAAGAAAATGCCAATAGACCTACATGGAGCAAAAATAATATAATGATGGAAAAAAATTGTATTCCTTTAAAACCTAATGAATTAACCAATTCAACTATAGAGATTGATACACATACTTGTGAAGATAATAATCAACTTCTGTCATTTCTACTAATTAAAGATGATCCCCAAATTCAACATATGTCACTTAACCAGACATTTCACCTTAAAAGAAATAATAAAGAGAAACTAATGCCTACAGAAAAACCAAAGCAAGATGTTAACATTCCCAAGAAACCTGTGCTTGGGTTTTATCGTGGGAAAGTTGTTGAGTCTAAGATTAATTCGTTCAGAAAACCTCTACAAGTCAAAGATGAGAGTTCTGCAACAAACAAGAAACCTTCAGCTATTATCTCTAATGCCACCAAGCCTCAGCCTATGAGCACCAGCAATGTAACAGTGAAAAGTGATAGAGCCTCAAATGTGACTACTACCACTAAAATTGTGAGCTCTGTATCTCAGAGCAGACGACTTGTGCAACCTCCTATTAGAAGCCACCACGATCATACCCAATACAAGGTGAAACAAGGCATCAGTAGAACCTCTGCCAATGTTACAATTCAGAAAGGACCTCGTAGAAAAGAACTGATTCAACTGAAAACAGATTTATCTTGTGTCAAAACCAGTTCTGCTCAGGACATAAAAAGAAATGAAGCACGATCAAGAAGCATAGCATCTGAAATCGTAGCAAGGCCTGCTTCATCTTCTAATATCAAACTGATAGAAAAGTCAGAAACCATCGACCAGCGAAGACATACTATAGCAAAGACCAGTGTCAGTAATAGATCGGCTCAGCCCAAAGAAACCACGGAACAGAGAAAGTGAGTAGATGGAATTTTCTTCATTTTGTTACCTTAGTTTTCAATAGAGTAGTATTTGTGAATTTTGTTTGTAATTTCCTTGAGTGTATTAGAATTTTCTTTTGTGCAATCTCTTCTGTCATGTGAGACAAATCCAAGTAAGTGTATATTGTGGAATTATAGGACCTGAAAGTTACTGTGTTTGGGTGTGTTTTATCAAGTTGCTTTTTGTAATCTAAGTTAAAACACCGGATAATAATTGGGAAATATTTTATAAACTCTCCATTTAAAAATGCATTCTTGGAGGTCTTTAAGCATGTCACTGACTTTGTTCAGTGTTTCTTTTCCTTCAGATTTGTGAACTATGTGCGTGCCTCTAGTGAGAAACTACTTAAAGACCTGAAGTATTTTTTAGCTGTTTCTTCATTTGACAGAGTTCTGTCATCAGTACCATAGTAACGTTTATATGCTACTTCTAACTGTAGAGCTCGTCTGACTGAGTGGAAAGCTGGCAAAGGAAGAGTGCTGAAAAGACCTCCTAGCTCAGCAGTGACCCAGCCTGAGGCTGCAGGGCAAAATGAAAAACCGGCCGGGTCCTTCTGGACTACCATGGCAGAAGAAGATGAACAAAGATTATTTACTGAAAAAGTAAACAAGACGTTTTCTGAATGCCTGAACCTGATTAATGAGGTGTATTGTCTTTATCTTATATTTGTGTAGCATTTATAGTTTGCAGATTACTTTTGTAAACATTATCTAACTAAATTTCATTGTCAATCTTTTTGACGAAGTTATGTCAAGGATGTTATGGTGACTTAACATTAATTGTGAGGTTGTTCCGTGTTTGCCTTTAACTGAAAGAGCCCTGGTGGCACAGTGGTTAAGCACTTGGCTGCTAACCAAAAGGTCAGAGGTTCAAACCCACCAGCCACCCCTGCTGGGAAAGATGTGGCAGTCTGCTTCTGTAGAAATTACAGCTTTGGAAACCCTATGGGGCAGTTCTACTCTGTCCTATAGGGTCGCTATGAATCAGAATCAACTCGACAGCAATGGGTTTAGCCTTTAACTGACTACATTTTGCACTGAATTCATATAAGTTTATCAAAGGGATAATTAGTGTTGTTATTTGAGTTTAAACAAGGTATTCCTCTAAGATGTTAATACAGAGTAAGCTTGGAGTAGATAATTGCTTTTTAACTCTGATACTTCTGTTTCTTAACAATTTGTTCAAACATGTTCATTAAGTATTTTCTCCTGTCATTATGAATTAACAAATGGAATCCCACAATATGTAAGAGGATAAACATTAAAACCAAGTGAAGTGACAATCTTTTTTTTTTTTTTACTAACACGTATCTAAACTAGTCTTTTATTTTCTGTTACCTAATACTCATGAGGAAACCCTGGTGGCATAGCGGTTAAGAGCTACGGCTGCTAACCAAAAGGCTGGCAGTTCAAATCCAGCAGGCGCTCCTTGGAAACTCTGTGGGGCAGTTCTCCTCTGTCCTATAGGGTTGCTATAAGTCAGATTCAATTCTACGGCAACGGGTTTAATACTCATGAAGGAGCCCTGGTGGCGCAGTGCTTAAGCACTCTGCTGCTAACCAAAAGATCCACGGTTCAAACCCATTGGCCACTCTGCAGGAAGAAGTTGTAGCAGCCTGCTTCCATAAAGATTACAGCCTTGGAAACCCTGTGGGGCAGTTCTACTCTGTCCCATAGGGTCACTGTGAGTTGGAATCGACTCAACGGCAATGGGTTTGGTTTGGTTTGGAATATTCATGAGTAATAGGCTTTTTCGTAGCCATTCAGAATAAGTTTGGAGTAAGGAAAATGATGATAACTAATGCTTTTATGAATATTTTTATATGAAGTTTTTCTGTCTTTGTCATTGATCTTGATTACAGTAAGCTTAATCATTAATTTTATAATTTGTAGGCTAAAGATATCACACACTTAATTTCTTGCTCTTTTAGGGATGCCCAAAAGAAGAAATATTGGTCACATTGAATGACCTGATTAAAAATATTCCAGATGCCAAAAAACTTGTTAAGTATTGGGTGTGCCTTGCACGTCTTGAGCCAGTCACAAGTCCTATTGAACATATTATTACCATCTACGAGAAGGCCATCCTGGCAGGAGCTCAGGTGAGATGAAAACTTACTCCTCTTTAATACAGGGTAAATGGTTGAGTTGCTTCTGAACACATCACAATGTAACGTGGTAAAATTGTGGTTATGTATATGTAGTAGTAATGAAAAGCTGTTTCTCAGCCTTCTAAAACTTTTCCTGTGTTCTACGGATAGTCAGACCTTAGAAAATGAATATAAGCTGAAATGTAAATTTAGTAAAACTGAACTCTGAGAAATGTTTCGGGGCAACATGTCATTCTGTGCATTTTCTAGTTGGGAACTCTACTAGGAAATTCAATTTTTAGTATTAAAACTGCTTATTGAACATAAAGCAAATGGAGTTAAATTAACTTTTAAAATGTTATCAACTGACGGCTTGTGAGAGAACTTCCTTTCACTTTAGGAGTATACTTGAGCCCTGTATTTGCACACATATAGAAGATAACAATAAACTCGTTTTTCTAACATTATTGCCATCATAGTGGTTTGTTGCCATAATCTCTACCTCTTCCTAGTCTGTTGGTAGAAAAAACCCTTCAGTATAGAATAATATATCCTGAGGTTTTTGTTTGGTTGATTTTTTTGTTTGCTTGTTTTTGGGCAAATGTTCCTTTAAAAGGTATTTCCTTTTGAACAAGTTTCTCAGGAACGTGTTCTTTCTTGGAAATTCTTTGCATAGAAATGTTTTTTTATTTTTGTTTTTTTTTTAAATTCTACATTTTAGCCTTTCCTTAAGAAAGGTATTCACTCTGGTCTAAGCAAAGCCCACATGTTATTTGACCTTACACCTGAAGGAAAATTCAAATAGTGAAAGTATATTTTCTCAGTGTCTAGCTATTATATATAAAACGCTATGCTGAAGGGCAATTACTCTTGACAAGATCCCACCTTGAAGTGTCAGATCTCTACTACATTGAACCTATAGGGAAAATTACCAAGGCAGGTTAGGGCAGTGTAGTTTGGTACCTAACTGGTGCAAAGGCTGCACATAAAAAACAGTAGTGTAAAGAGAAAGATGTAACACCAGAGTAGAAATGAGAAAACAAGAATCTAAATTAGCCAAGGAAATTGAAAGTAGCATGGGTGAGACAGATGTTCAGGACAAAGTTCAGAAGGAAGACTATGAGCCAGTGTTACCTTTTCGTATAATATCTTGAATATGTTGCATTAGCAGGAATGGTAGCTTAAAGGAACATAGTAATGCTTATAATGTGTGGCATATAATGGACACTTAGTAAATTTTTGAATGAATGAAATATGTTGGGCTGGTCAGTCTTAAGCTATTCAGAGATGCATTTAAAAGCACCTGGAACAAAAATATGACCATTGACCTAAATGTAGAGAAAAGGAGATATTAAACTTAATGTAATCACCTCTTTAATAGGTATTAAGAATGGTAATTTAAGGAGCCCTGGTGACGCAGTAGTTAAAGTGCTTGGCTGCTAACTGAAAGGTCTGTGGTTTGACCTCACCAGCCACTCCGCGGGAGAAAGATGTGGCAGTCTACTTCCGTAAAGATTACAGCCTTGGAAACCCTATGTGGCAGTTCTACTCTGTCCTATAGGGTCGCTGAGTTGGAATCGAATTGACAGCAGTGGGTTTGGTTTTTTGTTTTAAGAATGGTAATTTGCTACTTGTTCTTTATTTTGTCCTGATCAGGCAAGCATGATAGTTACCACAGGTTTAAGAAAAATTATGGGGAAATTTTTTAAACTTATGAAATTCTATCCCTGAAGTTCATTTTTATTCTATCAATTGGGAAAGACAGCCATTTTATAATTTTAATGGCAAAATAAGTGTTCTAAGAAGCATGGTTAAAGAACCACTGTGTTATTTTAAAAAATGAAGTCTTAATCACTATGATTTTGATATTTCCAACTTGGACAACCTAGTTACTGTGTGAGAAATATAAAACTTATGAGTTTGCTTTTTTCATTAAAAAAAAATTAAGCCTATTGAAGAGATGCGACATGCAATTGCAGATATTCTAACAATGAAGAGTCAAGAAAAAGTTAATTTTGGTAAGTTAGTTTCTTTGATTTCCTTTAAGTGAATTGTGATTTTATTAAATTCTTTATTGAATTAGTTTTTTTTCTTTTCTGTCCTTTAACTTTTAAAATATGTAGTTTGCTACTTTCCTCATACTTCTGTTGATCCACCTTTGAGATACAGTGGGTTTATGTAGTATGAAGAATTTTTAATTAGGAGATCTGGTTCAAAACCTAAATTTGTCGTCTGTGAAGGTTACTTTATCTCTCTAGGCCTTAATTTCCTGTCTTAAAAATAAAAATGGGGCAGTTGACTGTAGAGAAGCTCATTCAAGAATTCCCTTTACTATGATTAGTAGACAGGGTTGAGATATGAGATTCATTAGCTGTCAGGCACATAAGATGTAAACATTTTCTAGAATCAGATATAAAACCAAAAAAACCAAACTCATTGCTGTCCAGTCAATTCTGGCTCATAGCAACGCTACAGGACAGAGTAGAACTGCCCTATAGGGTTTCCAAGGCTGTAATTCTTTCTCCCGCAGAGTTGCTGGTGAGTTTGAACCGCTGACCTTTCAGTTAGCAACTAAGTGTTTAACCACTGCACCACCAGGAGTCCTTAGAATCAGATATAGGTTGTACCAATTACTGTGACCTTTTGCAAGAGATTTAGCCCCTTCCTTTGTTTTGTAAACCGGAGATATTGTTAATATCTTCCTCAAGATTGTTGGGACCATTGAATGAAAGAATGTATATAAAGCAGGCATTACAATTTGTGGCTCATAGTAAATTCATTAAATTTTAGGCATTGTTGATGTTGTTGTTAGGTGCCATCGAGTCAGTTCCGACTCTTAGTGACCCCACGTACAACTGAACGAAACACTGACCGGTCCTGCACCATCCTCAGTCATCGTTATGCTTGAGCCCATTGTTGCAGCCACTGTCAGTCCATCTCGTTGAGCATTTTCCTCTTTTTTGTTGACACTCTACTTTTCCAAGCATGATGTCCTTCTCCAGGGCCTGGTCCCTCCTGATAACATGTCCAAAGTATGCGAGACATAGCCTTGCTATCCTTGCTTTCGTGGAGCATTCTAGTTGTACTTCTTCCAAGACAGGTTTGTTCATTCTTCTGGCAGTCCATGGTATATTCGATATTTTTCACCAACACCATAATTCAGAGGCATCAGTTCATCTTCAATCTTCGTTATTCATCATCCAGCTTTCACATGCATATGAGGTGACTGAAAACACCATGGCTTGGGGTCAGGCACACCTTAGTCTTCAAGGCTTTGTTAATAGTAATTACTAAATGTGGGAAGAAATCACTACATATAAATGTAACCTAATTTGTTTCCTAGTTAGAATTATTTTTAATTGTTTCTGCTATAATACTATTTATCACCCAATCAGCAAATATTTGAGCACCTATTATATACCTAGGAGCACTTGTGGCGTAGTGGTTAAATGCCTGGCTGCTAACTGAAAGGTCAGCAGTTTGAGCCCAACAGCGGCTCCAAAAAAGAAAAGACCTGGTGATCTGCATAAAGATTACAGCCTAGGAGAAACCCTATGGGCAGTTCTACTCTGTCCCATAGGGTCACTATGAGTCGGAATTCACTCAGTGGCACACAACAACAACAATTATATACTGTCTTTGCTTGTATCTGGTTATTTATTTTATTTTGATTAATTTTAACAGGAGTCAAACAGTTTAAATTCTTTAAGGCTCTTGACAGATGCTACCAAATTGATTTCCAGAGTATTTACAAGTATTCTTTTCTTTTTTTTTTAATGGTATACAAAATGAATTTAAAATATAGGGATCTAGGTCAAGTACTAAACATTAAAATAAAATTCAAGATTACACTGAATTTATAAATTAAATATGTTATATAAGTTTTGGGTTACATTTAATATTTAAAAAAACTGTTCAGTGAGGTAAATATGCTAATGGCTTATCTACATGTGAGGAGGTGGTGCTTGTATTGTCGGTATGTTTAGCTGAACAGGGAATATTTCCATTTATGGTGGCTGTTAATATGCCCCAGGAGAACATGCATATGCTCTGATCTTAACAGTAATATTTAAAGAAGGGGCTTGAGAAGGAATGGTCAAAGAGATAGAGGAAAACCAGCAAAGACTAGTTACCCCAAACAAAAGGGGGACAAAGTTTAAGCATAACCTGATCTTCTCTCTTAAGTGCTAAAGAGGAAAAGTGGAAATAAGAATTTCCTAACAGCCATCTTCCAAAAATTGTGTGATAGATATTTTTATAACAGCAACAACAGAAAAAGCTTGTAAGTGGTTATCCAAGGTATCACAGTTGGTCTCTATTTTCCTGGAGCAACAGAGGAACAAGGAGAGTCAGGAGGATAGGAAGAGGATATGGAATGCGTGGCTAATTGCCTCCATGAACAACTGCCTCCTTTGCCATGAGACCAAAAGAACTGGAAGGTGCCCAGCTACCTTTACTGAACATTTTGATCAGAGATTCTATAGAAGAATCCTGATCAAAAGGGGGTAAATGTAGGAAAGAATTGAAAATTTTCATGGAATCCAGAATTTCTGGAGCCATGGAAGCTGGATGAACCCCTGAAACTGTTGCCTGAGAATCTTTAAACCTTAAACCAGAAATATCCCCTGAAATCTACTCAAAACCAATCATTTAGCTTAACTAGTAAAGAATGTCTATTTGAGCATTGTGCTCTTTTAAGAACTATATGGTAGCAAATTGACAACAGCAGCTTGAAAGATTAGATAAGAAACTTAGGGGGCAGTATGTTTATGTTAATGGAGGAGGAACAACTCGGAAAAAGAGGGTGAGAATGGTTGCACAACTTGAAGAATGTAATCATTGTCACTGAATTGTACACGTAGAAATTGCCGAGTCAGTGTATGTTCTGCTGTGTATATTCTCAACAACAAAAATAAAATAAATTATAAAAAGAAGAAGAGCCGTCTTCCTCATAATTTTTACTGGCTGTAGAGATATGTGAAGAAGATAAAACCAGCACTTACGTCTTACTCCATTATTCCCTCTATCTTTTTATTCCTTTATAGAATAATACTAGTTAGTGGAATCTTCTATCAGGTAGAATACTCGTTACTCCTTATATGGGAAAAAAACTGGTCATAAACTCTAGGCTTTCTGAAATGTATACATTCTAATCAATTTAAAAAGCAAAATTATTTGTAAACAATAAGAACATCTTTGGGAAATACAAGACACATAATAGAGACAAGCACCACTTGAGTGTCTCTTAGGTACCTCAAACCCATCCTATTCAAAATTGAACACATCATGTTCTCCTAAACCCCATCCTCCTTTTGGTTCCCTGTCTCAGTGAGTGGTGCTATGCAGTTGTCCAACCCAGAAATCTTGGAATTATTTTTTACTCCCTCTCTCTTTCCCACCTCCCACCTTGTTCTCCAGCCATTCAAAATCCAGTCAGATTAACTTCCTAAATATCTTTTAAAATCTATCCACTTCTCTCCATCACTACTCCTGTTACTACAGTCAAAATCAACTACAGCTCTTAACCTGGAGTACTTTTTTTTTCCCCCCATTATTCTGGAAGGAGTCATACTCTTGCTTCCCAGTCTCTCCAAGTAGTCTTCTACTCTCTTTACCTAATTCCTGCTTATCCTTTAGACCTATTTTAAATGTCATTTTCTTAGGGTAGCCTTCCCTGATACTCACCTCTCTCCCCCACCTAACTAGGTTCAATGCATCTCTTTTGTGTACCCTGGTTTTTCCCTATGCAATACTTGACACGTTTCATTGTTTAACTGCCTTGTCTTTTGAACTATAAACTCAATGGGCAGGACAGTGTCTGATCTTCCTCACCATTTTATCCCCAGTACCAATACAGTGCCTGGCATATATCAGGCACTTGAATATTTGTTGAATTAATGGATTCCCTCTCTCCCTACTTCAACTTCCACTCACTAAAAAAATGTATAGCCATCATGCAACTGAAACATCTTTTAGTAAAATCTCAAATAATTTCCAAGTCATTGAATCCAGAAGTCTTTTCAGCTCAATGGATTTCCTTGGATGTTTCACAAGTACTTAAAATCTAATGAGGTTTTTTGAATTCTTTATTTTCTCTCACGGCTTCCCTCTACCTATTATCTCTTCCCCCAAAAAAGAGGAGGAGGAAAGCAGAAAAAGGAAAAACCTTGCTCTGACATTAAAGCAAGAAAATCTGGGAGGTATGCCCCTAATCCACATGCATGCTCATTCAGATACACATATACATTCATTTGTTCATTAAATTCTGGCTATTCTATTTCAGAGTCTCTCTAATTGGGCCTGTCTTCCCATGTCTATTACAACAGCTCTGTCTTCTTACATCACAGATCATTAGGTTCCATTCTAGATCATCCTTTACAATGAACAAATCTAATTATATCTCCTTGTCTCTCTGATGATTTTTTCTTCTTTCTAAATAATGTTTAAAAATTTTACATAGTTTTAGGCCCACAGAAAAATTGCAGAGGTCGTATAGAGAGGTCTTACATACCCATCACCTAGTTTCCCCTATTGTTAATGTCTTCTATTACTGTGGCACCTTGTCACAACTAAGGAATCAACATTAGTACATTACTATTAACTAAACTCTCCACTTTATTCAGATATCACTAGTTTTACTAATGTCCTTTTCCTGTTCCAGTATCCCATCTATGATAACACATTTCATTTAGTCATCATATTTTCTTAGTTTCCTCTTAGCTGTGAAAATTTCTCAGAGTTCCCTTTTCTTTTTGTGGTAAAATATATATAACATAAAATTTATCATTTCTATTTTTGAACATCCAATTCAGTGGTATTAATTATAATTACAATGTTGTACAACTATCACATTTATCTATTTCTAAAACTTACTCCACACAGAAACTCTGTAACCGTTAAGCAGTAACTCCCTATTCTTCTCTTCCTCTAGTCCAGTGTAACCATGAATCTATTTTCTGTCTCTGTGAATTTGCTTATTCTAGATATTTCGTATATGTGTCCTTTTGTGTCTAGCTTATTTCACTTAACAATGTTTTCAGGATTCACCCATGTAATGGCATGTATCAGAACTTCATTTCACATTATGGCTGAATAATATTCCATTGTATGTATCTACTACATTTTGTTTATCTATTCATCCTTTTGGCTATTGTGAATAATGCTGCAGTGAACACTGGTGTACAAGTATCTGTTTGAGTTCCTGTTTTCAAATCTGTTAGGTATACACTAGGGGTAGAATTGCTGGGTCACCATTTTACATTGCTACTAAGAGTGTACAAGGGTACCAATTTCTCCACATCCTTGTCAACACATTATTTTTCGTTTGGTAATAATTAATTATTTTCAAATGTTTCTCTTCATTGAATGTGAGCTTCTTAAGGACTGGGATGATTTCTTTCTTATATCTGTATCTATAATCCCTGACACATAGGAGATACTCAGTAAATATTTGTTAATTAGTTGACATCACCGTTTGCTTGGGAAAAGTGATGTTTAGATGGCAGTTTGGTCCTTTTGTTTTGAAATTTTGGTCAACTATAAATAGCCTTAATGTCTTCTGATGTTCTTAAAATTTCACAAAATCTCAGAACAGGAGGGTGAGAATTGTTGTACAACTTGAAAAATATAATTAGTGTCACTGAATTGTTCGTGTAGAAATTGTTGAATTGGTGTATGTTCTCAACAACAAAAAAAATAAATTATAAAAAATTGATTGTGAGGCATTCAGTTCAAGATTAAACAAAAATATTGGCTAAAGCTTAATCTATAAATGTATTTTGTATAGGAGAAAATATCGAGGAGGGTGATGCAACTAAGGAACAAGTCCAAGAAGTCAGCATGGAAGATGCAGGTGTGAATCTAGAGCCAGGAAAACCAAAACTGGAAAATAAACATCATAGAAGTGTGATGTTTCATGATTGTGAGAAAGAGCAAGAGGACAAAACAAAAGATCCAGGCAATGACATTAAAACTCCTGATAAAGAAACCAGGGAGAGTTGCTTGATTAAATATAATGTATCTTCTACGCCATACTTGCAAAGGTAAACTTTTAAAATGTAACTTGCTATGATTTATTTTTATGCTTTTGGATAATAAATGTGGTATTTTAAAATCTTTAAGTTAGCTTCAGATTAGAACTACCATTTGGTAATAAAACGGTTTTCAAACAAATGGAATGTGATTGGGACATTTCACTTTTTAAATACTGTATTTACTTTGCTCTTCTCTAAATACTGCTATTTGAAAAAGAAAACTTTCACATCATTTTACTTTAGCCTCATATTGTGTAGTGCTAATATCAGCAGGTTTGGATTGAACAGTTACCCTATACTACAGATATTTAGATTTCTACTGTGTAGAATTTGTCACATCAAGTAGAGAACTCGAGAATACGTTCCTCACTTCCAGGATCTTGCAGTACCTTTCCCTTTCTATAAGACAAGCAATCAAATGGTTGTAACATACAAGATATAGTATGATAAATAGCATAAAAGTACAAAGCAAAAGTGTTCACACGTATTTTTGAACTCTAGGAATAATTTTGTGTTTTCTTTTTCAGTGCGAAAAAGAAGATTCAGTTTGACAATACAAATTCGATATTTAAAGAGCTCAAGTTTCTAACACCAGTGAGACGTTCTCGACGTCTTCAAGACAAGACTTCTAAATTGCCAGATATGTTAAAAGACCATTATCCTTGTGTGTCTTCATTAGAACAGTTAACAGAGTTGGGACGTGAAACTGATGCTTTTGTGTGCCGTCCTAATGCTGCACTGTGCCTGATGTACTCAGAGACTGAAACAACAGAGGAGAAATAAAGCTGTGATGAGGAATGGGGTTTTTATTATTCCTGGAGTTTTTTTATTTTCTTTTTTGTGGCTTTGCATTTCTCTTAGGTCTAAGGTTGGCCAAGGACCTGAGTATTCTCAGTACTCATGGCAGTGAGCTCCTTTACTAATTTTCACTTCATAGCAGGAGTTGCCTTTGATGCATCAGAATTCCAATCCTACTTTGTCAATCTCAACAGAAGCTGAGTTTTTCTTGAAGATAAGTGTAAAGTTTATCAGCTAGTTCACTATGTTTCTTTGAGTATCAAGAAGTATCATCATAATGTTAGCTTGTTCACTTTTTAAGGCATCTAAAATTACAGAAACATTGTAAGTCAACTCCAATAATGCTGCATCATTAGAAAATAAAGTGTTATAAATAAAATTTATACTTTGCATGGACATGTTTTTAAAGTTTATGACATGCCTCCCTGCCCGTAAATAGAAAACTGACTTTTTTTTCTTTTCTTGATGATTCTGGATCAGTATGAAAGTCAATAATTGTAATGTATTATGTAAAATATTAAGACATGTAGGAGTTAGCTTGCTTTTTCACCAAATTCTTGTTACCCAGACTGCTGTGCTCTTTGTGGCCTTTGGACTGCTTATGGTTCTTCAGATCACTTTTCATCGGTGCTAGTGAGTTAGCATCTGTAGCCTCTTTCTTTCTGATCGCAGCTAAGGTCACCAAGAAGGGTAGTTGACTCAATACTCCATTTCTAAGACATGGTATTTTGTGGTAAGAAAGACAAGGTACCAAACCTAGTGGATATCAGAACTTTAAATCTAGTCTGAGTTTCTTTCTTTAGTTCCCTTTTTAACTTGACTATCTAAAATGTTAAAATCTTAACTTTCATGGTTTAATTTGTATAGTTTATAGACTTGTAGAATCGAGTTAGGGAAGGAACATATCCTATTTAGTAAAGGTCATTCTAATTTAGGTAACATTTCTAAAATAACTAATACTTCTTTATTATGTTCTTCCACGTGATATAAAGACCTATAACTTCACTGTTAAATCATGTCCCCATAAATAGGACAATTAGATACAGTAAACAGTTCTCTTCTTCCAACACATAAATACCACCAATAAAATTGTTCTATATAGCCCTAAAGTAATACTTACATCACATCCATTGTCTACTAACTCAATTCTACAGTTTGAGAAAAGTGATTTTTTATTATGAAATGTTAGTTTTAGAACTGTACATAGTATGAATGTGGTCGAGGATCACATACTTTGCCTTAGTTATGTTCATTAACAGTACACCTAGTCTGTATACAATAAATTAAAAAATATGTATCATGATGTTCCAATGACATTTATTTCAACAAATATTTTATGAAATGCAATTAAATTACAGTGAATTAATTTGAACCTTGCCTTTGAAATACATTGTAGTAAGATTTAACTTGAGGTTTTTGACACTCAAATAACTATGCTTAATAGTGTATTTCCTTTTAAAAAATCAATCTACTTACATAAAAATTTACCTAATTTTTTTCATTTTAATAAAAGCAATAACTTATGTTCTTTATTTTTTTTTATATTTTACATGAATGACCCAAAATATGCCATTTTGAAGTAAACTTCAATCTGGCATGTACTCTCACCTCTGTGCTACGTGTTTCATTTGGCCATATTTCATAGCTTGAAATACCTCAGTGAAAGGTAACTGAAGAGATAAACTGTTTTATGTGTGGGCAGTTTCTTAGAGTGTTTTGGCTTTTTTTTTCTCCCTTCACTGAGGGAAAGTCTAAATGGTCCTGTTTCAAGTATTTACAGCCACAGTTCTGACTCCTCTTTTAGATGCTTAAGAACAGCTATCATGTCTCTAACCTATGTTTGTTCCATACTAAATATCTCCAAGAATACAATCCAGCACATGAGCTTTGAAGTCCAATAGACCTTCTGCATGGTAAGAATCAGCATGAATCCAGTCCCCAAAATGTGGAGAGTGATGAAGTCCTCCCATTCCCACTTCTCCACCCTTGTCACCAGTTGCCTTCACCGCACTCTGACCCCAGCCACCTGGAGCTAGATCAGCACTCACAAGTTAAAAGGAAACTGGACTGTCAAATAGATGCCAGCTGCAAGTCTTGGGCGTCCACACGATACCCCAACCTTCTGACCTGCTGGCCACAAATTTGAGGTTGGTTTCCCACTAACTCTGCAGGATGTCAGCAGCAAGCTCAGGAGTCCACACGACACCCTTTCCTTCTGACCTGCTGGCTCCTACTACTACTCTGGGTTCAATAATTCACTGGAACGACTTGCAGAATTCACAGAGAGTATACAGTACTTACAACTACAAATTTTTTACAACCAAAAAGGATACAAACGAAGAGACGCATAGGGCAAGGTCTGGGAGGATTGGAGTTCCCATGTCCCAAGGGATGCGCTACCCTCCCAAGAGCAGATATTCTCATCAACCAGGAAGCTCTCTGAACTTCCATGAGAAAGATTTTATCAGCCAGTCCTGCATGATTGACTAAATAATGCCTCCTGAGGCTAGTTGATAGTGGCCTCCCAGGTATACCCTACACTAATCGTGTCTCATTAACAACAACAACCCATTCCAAATGGGATTATAACCACAGGCATACAGCCTAGGCATTACAACACATTTTTCGGGAACACAATCCATAACACTGAGGTAAAGCTAAGTCCTTTACCCCACAGTCATGACTGGGGAAAAGGGAGCACTGAGGAACTAGAGGTCTGAACAGAGAACAAGTATAGAGGGAGCAAGGGAGAAAGAAAGCCAGCAGAAGATCAGTCGTGGAGAGGAGGAGACCATAAAGTTTAAGATAGCAGAGGTGGATCAGCTCTTGGCAATCTCGAAGTCCCTGTTGTGGCTTAGGAATCAGTTGTTAAAGTACGAGACAAAGTTCATTGGAAAGAGAAATGAGGGAGTGATTGAAAAGCGATTAGCATTACAAGGAGAGGGGAGAGAGTAATCTAGTTCAGGCTTTCTCATCCTCAGCACTATCGGACATTTTGGGCTGTATAGTACTTTGTTATGGGTGGGTGTCTTAGGCTGTGTTCTCTAGAGAAGCAAAACCAGTAAAGCGTATAAATATATAGAGAGAGATTTACATCAAAGAAACAGCTCACGTGACTGTAGAGGCTGGAACGTGCCAAGTCCGTGGATTAGGATAGAGGCTTCTCCTGACTCATGTAGCCGCAGGGGCTGGTGAACCCAAAATTGGCAGGTTGGAAAGCAGGGCTCTGCTCATAGGCTGTGAAGATCGACGAATCCCAAGATGGGCAGATAAGCTGATACCCCAAGTTCGAGAACCAGAGGTCAGATGAACAGGAGGCAGCAGCAGGATCCAGAGTAAGGAAAAAGCCAGAACGTCTAATTATATTTGGATGCAGGCCACACCCACAAGGAAAGTTCCTTTCAACTGATTGGCTACTCACAGCATACTCAGTCATGGGAGTGATCACATATAAACACTGAGAATCATGGCTCAGCCGAGGTGACACAGAATCTTACCATCACAGTCCACCCCTTGTCAACTTGGCACATGTACACGTCTCAAACCATACACAATCTCCGAATAAAGACAATCACAAAGTCACAGTTGCATCTAACATGATACAACAAACACGTGTACCATAGAAAATGCACTAGCTCTGTTTACATCTTATATTTTATAAGTGAAGGAAACAAAAATATTTGATGCACATATACAAAGCAGAAATACTCAAAACAATTACAGTCCCTGTTTCTGCAACTGGTCACGTGGCCATAACTGGTATTTAGAACTATCTTCTTCCAGCACCCATTCTGTATTCCCTTTGCCCTCAGCAAGCACCTCAGCTGGTTGTGGTTCTTTGCTTGGTGGGGTGACCCAAACCTTCATTCCTGAAGGGTCTGGGTCATTAGTAGGCATGTTGGAATTGGGTTGCTGTAGTTTTCCATTGACTTTATATCACAGGGCATAATAGTACTAAGAGACACCCTAAGGAATCTGTTGCATTCCAGACATACTCTTCTTTACCTCCATTATGTGATATCAACCAATTTCCTCTTGGTAATCAGGATCAATCACATCAGCCAGTATGGCAACTCCCTTCTTTGCCTGTTGATCCTGAGGCATAAGGAGCCCAAAGTGGCCAGGTGGCATTCACAGCTTCCAGTTCATTGGAATCAGTGATGTGTCTCCAGGTGGGAGCATTCCTCTCTTTGGAACTAAGACCTCTAGACCTGCAGAGCATAAGGTCGTGGGGACAGGAAGCAAAAATCTTGCAAGTGGGTCACTAGGGGTAATAGTGAGTGGTGCCATTCCCATTTCCACCCCTTGATTCCTGGACACATGAATCCTGGCTATGGGAGAAATAGCACCATATATTGGATGCCGGTTTAGAGCATATACAGCCTCCTAGAGAACACTGCCCCAACCCTGCAAGGTATTGCCACCTAGCTGGCACTGTAATTGTGTCTTTAGAAGGCCATTCCATCGTTCTATCAAGCCAGATCCTTCAGTATGATGGGTACATGGTAAGACCAGTGAATTCCATGAGTGTGGGCCCATTGCCGCACTTCATTTGCTGTGAAGTGAGTCCCTTGATCCGAGGCAATGCTGTGTGGGATACCATGGTGGTGGATAAGGCATTCTGTAAGTCCATGGATGGTAGTTTTGACAGACGCATTGCATGCATGGAAGATAAATCCATATCCAGAGTGTCTAGTCCAGTAAAGACAAAATTCTGCCCTTTCCATGATGGAAGTAGTCCAATGTGATCAACTTGCCACCAGGTTGCTGGCTGATCACCTTGAGGGATGGTGCCATATCAGGAACTCAGTGTTGGTCTCTGCTGCTGGCAGATTGGGCACTCAGCAATGGCCGTAGCCAAGTCAGCCATGGTGAGTGGAAGTCCATTTTGCTGGGCCCATGCATAACCTCCATCCCTGCCACCATGGCCACTTTGTTCATGAGCCCATTGATCAATGACAAGAGTAGCTGGGGAAAGAGGATGACTAGTTTCCACAGAACACGTCATCTCATCCACTTGATTGTTAAAATCATCCTCTGCTAGGTCACCCTTTGGTGAGCATTCACATGAGATACAAGTATCTTCACTTCTTTGGCCCATTCAGAGGGGTCTAGCCACATACCTCTTCCCCATAAATCTTTGTCTCCAATTTTCCAATCATGTTCCTTCCAAGTCCCTGACCATCCAGCCAAACCATTGGCCACAGCCCATGAATCAGTATATAATCGCACATCTGGCCATTTCTCCTTCCAAGCAAAGTGAACTACCAGATGCAATGCTCAAAGTTCTGCCCATTGAGAGGATTTCCCTTCTCCACTGTCCTTCAGGGAGTCCCAGAAAGGGGCTGTAGTGCTACCGCTGTCCACTTTCAAGTGGCGCCTGCATATCATGCCGAACCATCTGTAAACCAGGCACGAGTTTTCTCTTCCTCAGTCAACTGACCATAAGGAACTCCCCATGAGGCCATAGGTGCAGGCTGGGAGATGGAAGGTAATGTGACAGGAGTGGAGGTCATGGGCATTTGGTCACTTCCTCATGCAACTTACTTGTGCCTTCAGGTCCTGCTCAGGCCTGATCTCGTATATACAACTTCCACTTAATGATGAGTGTTGCTGTGCATGTCCAACTTTATGACTCTGTGGGTCAGACAACACCTAGTTCACAATGGGCAGCTCAGGCCGCATGGTGACTCGGTGTCCCATTGTTAAGCGTCCAGTCTCTACTAAGGCCCAGTAACAAGCCCAAAGTTGTTTCTCAAAAGGAGAGTAGGTATCTGTAGAGGATGGCAGAGCTTTGCTCCAGAATCCTAAGGGTCTGCACTGTGATTCACTGATACGGGCCTGCGAAAGACTCCAAACAGCATCTCTATCTGCCGCTGACACTTCAAGCACCATTGGATCAGCTGGATCATATGGGCCAAATGGCGAAGCAGCTTGCACAGCCACCTGAACCTGTTGCAGAGCCTCCTCTTGTTCTGGGCCCCACTGAAAACTAGCAGCTTTTTGAGTCACTTGGTAAACAGGCCAGAGTAGCACACCTAAACGAGGAATATGCTGCCTCCAAAATCCAAAGAGGCCCACTTGGTGTTGTGCTTCTTTTTTAGTTGTGGAGAGTCATATGCAATAACTTATCCTTCATTTTAGAAGGAATATCTCAACATGTCCCACACCACTGGACCCCTAGAAATTTCACTGAGGTGGAAGGTACCTGAATTTTTGTGGGATTAATTTTCCA